TACAGATGACTGTGCAACTTATGATGATAGCTATTTCTGTTTATTTTTTAATTTTACCCATGAATAAATTTTTAACAATCTAGAAGGCAAGGGTAGATGAAGGGTGTATGTAAAGTACAGCTATGTGGTATTTCAAGAGAGCAGGAATATATACGTCTGTCAGTCGTAACACCAGAGACAGTACTGCCCAGCCAAAGGCACAATTGTTGTGCCAGTAGACTTTGTAACCATATGTAAGCATTTTAAAGGTATCACGATTTTATTTATTTTTAAAAGTAGAGCACAATGGCTATATTTGTGTTTTATTGGTATTAGCTGACTTTATTAATATTTACTTTGAGTGGAAGCTTAGAAAAAATTTGAGTATTAAAATGTTCAATTAAATAGTCACATTAGTCATATACATTATAAGAAGGGTTTGAATGATGGATTTCGTTGCTCTAACAAAAGGACTTTAATGGATTACATGCTACAAAAAGAAGTATGTGACACTCTTTGCTTTATTTTGCCATAAAATCAGAAAAAAGTGTCAGAATGGGGACCTGTGCTTTACATGCTATTATAGCTCACCACATCACATTTGCCAAAGCAGGGGGACTGATTAAAGGTTCCCAAGAGGAAGGGAAATCCATACATCAACAGCTCTAGTTGAATTGAAAGACTGAATGGATTTAAATGCTGGCTTTGTTTGCTCCTTGCTGGCTCCTTGACCTCAGGGACACTGTTCACCTCTCTGTTCCCGAGTTTCTGATTCTGTAAAATGCGATCATACATAAACCAACAGTGTGCCCAGAGCACACACAGTAGGTAGCAGCCATCCAGCAAATGCTAATTATTGCTTCCTGACTCAAACCTCTATCTGACATTCATTCACTCATCTTTATTATAATAATCTCTTCCTCCTACTCTTCCTCCTCCACCCTCCTCCTCCTTCCTCTGAAGCCTTTATTAAAAGCACGCAATAAAAAATATTTGTAGTTGAAGGGTTGGTGGTGAGACGGCTCAGCAGTGGGGAAAGGACTTTGTGCCAAGCCTGACAACCTGAGTTTGCTCCCCGAATCCCACATGTTGGGATAAGAGACTTCTCACTAGTTGTCTTCTGAATGCTCGCCTGTGTGCCCCAAGCCCAAAAGTTAAATAAATGTAAACAATTTTAAATTATAACTGCGTATTCCTGACTTAGATGCTGTTGTGTAGGCTCTCCACTGTTGTATAAGAACTCTGTCTATGAAGTCCCACAGGAATGCTCTCCTTTGTATCGTTTTAGTGGCCCGAAGAACAACCAGTACACCTCACTCCATGGATCTTTTCTGCTTAGGTCTGAATCAAGGCTGTAGAATAAAAAAGGAACGAACAACTTTCTGACTCAACACTTTCCCTTTAAAGCAGCTCGGGGAATGTCTCCCTTTCATCCCTGCAGGAGCATCAAATTCCTGACAAATTAAGCAAAAAGAATTATGGTCATGGCTCTTGATTATCTAGCCAAATCGGTTTTAATTTTCGGTTGGCAAGGGTAGAGGTTCCAAGAGCTTGCAGAACTTGCTGAGTTTGAACGGGATCCTGAGCAAAGGAGAGGGGTACAGTGGGAGGTGGGAAAGAGAGTGGGGGTGGGGGAATGTCATTTTCAGCACTCCGGAGATCACTCTGAGAGCACAAACAAGTCATCATTTGTCTTGGCACTCAGAGTGTTGGGGGGGGGGGAACTTCCAGTCAAGACAGACCCCAAGCTGAACGCTAGATGAGTGCAGCTTGCACAAACAGACGACCTGCTGTCCACAGATGTCCATCCCACCAAGGCCTCTCCCTGCCAGGCTGAGCAGCAGGCCCCTCTTGAGCCATAGGACCCGGGTGCACAAATCTCTAGCCCATCCTAAGCTGCCACAGTCTGCCTGAGCCTGCTTCAACAGCCCTTTGCAAACTAAAACATCTTACCCAGAAGAGGATTTTTATGCTGCTTGGTTCTTTAGTTCCCAGAGTTGCATGGTATAACTACCAAAAAAAATCGATTTCCCCTGAGTTGAGCTGTGTAAACCTAAAGGCATGAAGGATGCTGCCAACACCTCTTTCCTGGGGCTGGTGTCAGAGCCGGGCTCTACCTAGTCACTCATTATTGCCACACCAGCATTCTCTGTTATCTCTCCCAGTGCCAGCCCAAGAAGTCGTGCTCTGCACACCAGATGACGACGCTGTCATGCACACAGGCAGGCACCTCCACGGTGGGGACTGCTCAGTCAGGGACTACTCAAGAGTGGGGCGGCTCCTTTACAAGAAGGCGCCCATAGCTGCTGGCAGGAACCCAACCCAACAGATTTGGCCACAGCCGCGGAAACGCGAAGGGAGACTTCATTTTTGAAGTGTATTTGATGGTCCTCTGTCAGCACTGACACCAGAGGGGCCATTCCGAGCTCATCTTTGACAGCGGCTTCCCAGCTTCAGTACTACTCTGCCTCCTGAGACTGCAGAAAAAACGATTTGGAACTTGTCACACGATTTCCCCAGCACACAGCCCACCAGGGCTGTGAACAGGATCGCTGCCTCTCCCCTGGCTAATTTACAAACACCCTGTGACTCTCTGCCTGTGGTCTTGTTTTTATTGGAACTTCCAGAAACCTGCATTGTTAGCATCCGAGGCTACAGGTTTCTCTACAGTAAGAATGTCTTCATTTTTTTCCCCTCTGACTATGAGACCTTGTAAATTTCCAAAGCAGAATAAGACTCGAAGCTGTTCAGAGCATGCTTATTTAATTTTGAAGCTTTGAGATAGAAAAGCAGGCAGGAACTTGACCCCAGAATGTCCCTGGGTAGGAAAAAGCTCTCAGCTGGGAAGCCAGGCTGCCTGCTGGGTAGAAAAGCAAGGATGTCAACCAAGGCTTTAAAATGCTGCTCTCTTTCAGCACGATGTTGAGTTTATCTGCCAACACATCTTGGCAATTATTAGGAAGGTAGTTTCAATTCAGCACATTCCAAAAATCATTAAAATTTGTCTCCTCTGAAAAATTACACACTTTAGGGGCTTGGCATCATAGCTGATACTTGCCATCCAAATGCTCAATCACAAAGAAGTAGTGTGCTTGTGGCTTGATCATCAGGTACCATTCCTAGATGTCTTGCATGTTCTGGATTTCCAGTAAGTTCCACAGAGGGTTGCAGTGGAGATAACCGTGGTACAGTTTCTGATGAAGAAACAATAGTTTTAGCCTGTATGCACACCTCTGCTAACATCACATGGTCGCACCTGTCTCAATTGGCTATGAAATGGAACGACTCCCCAAAGTATTAGAAGTAAAAGCTTAAGAAGCTAAAAACCTTGCTTGCCCACCAATGCCCTTTAGAATGATGCACCAAGCTGGACCAACCACAGACCTGTTTCCCAATGCCACAAGTGCCTTGTGAGCTGTCCATGTATGGAACCCAGCCCAGCCACAGTGCATTCAGCCAAAATGAGACCTTCAGGCTTGAGGTTTTTTTTTTTTTTTTTATAAAGGTATAACATGTTTTAAAGAGCAGATGGTTTTAGTGAAAGTTGTTTTGAATCCTGTCTGGGCTGAAGAAAAAGCCTCAAGACTGAGACATCAAACGTCCAATCTTTTAGCACAAAAACAACCTTCCAAAGGTGAATCATTTGTGAGTGTCACTTAAAGCTTGCAGGAGACCTGGGGGTCCAGGGGAAATTGTGCCAGCCAGCATGTTGGCTTCCCTTTTTTCCTTTTCTTCTTCTTCTTCTTCTTCTTCTTCTTCTTCTTCTTCTTCTTCTTCTTCTTCTTCTTCTTCTTCTTCTTCTTCTTCTTTTCCTTTTCCCTCTGTGTCTCTCTGAGGCCTAGAAGAACACAGAGGCACACAGAACCAGGCAGGGGACAAGCCACTGACGCTCGTTCTCTTGCCTCAGGCGCTGTCTAAAAGAACATCCTGAAGTCAGCCTTCTGATGTCAAGGTGGGCTCCAAGCAAAGTCAGCTATCTCAGGTCATGGAAGTCACCTGCTGGAAAGCCTGTAAGGAATACTTGCTCTTCTGCTGACAACATCACCGCCCTGAGCTGCGACCCCAGGGGACTTCCAGGGACCTTGACTTAGAAGAGTGGAAGGACAGTGGGAAAACAAAGTCCCTCAAAGGTGACAGTCCAGTGAGGCTCCAGACTCAGAAGCCTGCATTGTGATTCTGCCTCTGCCAGTGACTTCTAAGCAGATGTATCCCATTACCTCTCCAACAGAGCAGTAAATGCTAAGTTGGATCAGGGTGTCTGTCAAATACTGAGTGACTGCTGATGAGTGACGCTGTAAGGTGTGGTGTTACTAGCACAGAAACCAACACATGTCCAGGTTTAATGGTGAGGTGGGGAGATTCAAGGCAAATGCCCAGCAATACTTGAGGAGAAGACGGTCTACATGGGAAGCAAATGTGGTGTGCCTTAGGAGGGGATGGCCAGTCACACACAAGCCATCCAGGTGAATCTGAGTTTCATGCAATAACAGTGTTTTAAAGTATTAAGATGCCCAAAATATGCCATGGAATGCACTTATTCTAGAAGAACATTGTTTGTTTATCTGGAATTCAATTTTACCGGGACTCGTGTATTTTCATTTGCTAAATCTGTCAAACCTGCCATGGAACAGATGTTTTTCAAAAGAGAAAGGGGGAAGATCTTAGTACTGGTTTTTTTTTTTTTTTTTTTTTTTTTTTGTGTGTGTGTGTGTGTGTGTGTGTGTGTGTGTGTGTGTGTGGTTGGTGGGGGGCTCAAACCAGAGACTGTTCTGAGTTGAGGAGTCCTAAGCTGGCTTGGAGATCAATTCCTTGGAGATCAATTCCTAGAATGATTAGGACAGTTTAGGTCCTCCCTTACCGCCCCCCACCTCTAAAAGTGTTACCACCAAGTGGATCAAAGTGATTTCTCCTTTTCTGGAGAATGGCTTATTTCAGTCACCATCCTAAGAATACTCCATGAGCATCCACCGTTCACTGGTTACAGTGCTAGCTTCTGTGGAGTGGGGGAAGGGTGGGCGGAGCCTCTGCCTTGGCGGGGCACCCACTCAGTGGGTAAACGCCTCTGACATGGGGAGCTGTCAGTCTGTCTCCGGAATTCAAGAGCACAACATGGTGTCTTTTTTTCCTGCAAGTTTCCTTGAGGTTTGGTACCAGTGAGGTACAGCTTAGATTCTTCTGGTACAAGAGAAATAGAGAAGCACCGCGCGTTCAGGAGCTTGTGAGAGTGACACAAGACGCTTCTGTCACCAGCGGTAACAGAAGGTGGGATCTGTCAAAAACGGTAAAAGGGATGAAGTAGAGGAGGTGGTTCTCATGGAGGAGCGATTACATGAGTTTGGAGTTCACAGGGACGCTTTCTTCAGGAATCCAAGATGAACCTGAGGCACGCAGAGACAGTCCCCAGCACTCTGGACTTAAATCATAGATTCATGTTTTCCCATAAATGGAAGCACTGTCCTCAGATGTCTGTATGTCCAAACATCCTACGGTGTCCTTTGTCAAGTGTCACTTGTCTTTATTTGAATTCTTCTCGAATCTTCTCAAGAAGTCCATTATATTGTCTTAAAGTGAATAGCTGGCAGTAACAGTTTTAAAAAGCTAAGCCGATACCCACTACGTGTTTCTCCTGTTCCCCACATTGGCTCTGGATCTGCTACTTGCCCTACTTAGGACTTCAATCAAACACCATATGAAGATCTGGAATAGAAGCTTGATAATTAGTCTCAGAATGGAAGCATATAGGATCAACAGTGAATCCCACAGTGACATGAAATATCCAAAGACCACCGGGTGAGATGGTATAGCAATATGTGTAAAAGCCTGCATTTAGACCACGGAACAGTGTAGCTCAGTAGGTACTGCTATGAAAGCAACCCAAGATTTAAATTAATCCTTAACTTCCTATGAGGCCACAGTGTGATGTGATTGCTGAAGATGCTAACTGTGGCCACATGGCTAGCCCAGGGCCACAATTTAGAAAGTAATTGCTATATACAGCCTGCCTTGGTTGAATTATATTGATACACTGTTACATATTTTCTTGCTATGTAGGGCAGGCTGGCCTTAGACTCATGATCCTCCTGCCTCTGCTTTCCAAGTGCAGGGATCGTAGGCATACCCCACTACACCTGGCTGCCTGCCACATCCCAAGAGATGCTTACTTGGAAAGAAGGATGTGTTAGTTGCTTTCCTCTTTGACAAAAACGCAGCTTAAGGGGGTAAAGGTTTATTTGGGCTGGAAAAGCATCGTGGCAGCATTGAGAAATTTGAGGTGGGCGTGGCTAAGCTGGACTTACAACCTTGAAGTATTTAGATGTGGGGGCAGTGGCTTGCATTTCTGCTCTTCTGCTTACCTTGTGTTGACAACAGACAGGACATTACAATATACCTGGTTTAGAGGAAGAAAGTTCTCCCAGTTAAGGTGACTTCAAACATGGTGCTTAATTGTCTGCATCCCCTTTCCTATCTCTCTTCATTTAATTTAACGAGAAATATGTAAATCACCTAGTACAGAACCTGAGATTAACTGTTTAATGTTGTTTTTCTCTAACATTCCTTTTTTCTTTCTTACTTCCATCAATAACTACAAATATCAGCAGGCTTCAGAAGTCTTACCCTGATCTGAGCTTTGAAATCCTGTTCACAGAAGAGCTTTAGTGTTTGGCCTTGAGTCTAAGCCCCTTGTTCCATTCCCCGCCCCCAACTTTTAAAAATAAGGACTTCCCTGATATTGATATCCACGACGGTTTCTATAGAGGTTTTCCTATCCTTACTTAAGTTTGGGGTGGGTGGGTGGATAGTTTTATCTCCTCAAAACTTTCACACTTTTGGAGACCTTTTATTTATCTCCTTTTGGAGTCTCAAGTCCTAGATTGCATTTAAACCTCACTACAAACCTTTCACATTTGTCTTTACGTTAGCCATTTTGAAAACAGCTAAATAATCCACGCACATATCTGCATATTCTCTAATTTTCCCTTGTATTGAGGTTCTTTTATTTTGGTTATTAGAAACAGGCTCTGAAGTAAGAAGAAATAGTTTACTAAAAGGATACTTGAGTGAGTGTGTGGGGTGCTGCTTACAGACTTAAGCATGTACACACAGAACTTAAGAAGAGCAGACCTCAGGCCAGATCTGGGAATTCTGCCTAAGGCTTGGATTGTGAAGTGATTTCATCATCCCCACTCCCTCCCTGTGAGCCTCTGTCTCTAGGAAGTGAGACTCTGATTGGCCATGTGATCAAGAGGAGTGAAGACCTGTGATTGGCAGCCCTGATAGAACTAATTGGGCACGGTCAGAACAGGTCTCTAAGGAAGGGGGTGCCGAGAAGAAAATCCAACACATATCCATCACATTTTCTTAGCAACCTCTGAGGTTACTGCTGAGGTCTCCCTCATTTCCATATTGTCAATCTGTTCAGACTGAAGCCTGGAAAATGCATCTTTCAAGACTGCCTGCTACCTTTTTTAAACCTCCCTGCCTGCTTAAATATTCCTTGAGGAAAGGAATCGGAAGAATGCTAGAAAGACAGCTTTGCCATGGGGTTGGGGTGGGAAGACTTGTGGATTTGGTTCAGAGTCCATCATCTGACGTGTCTTTATGTAGACAGGAAGCACTGCTCAACACTCCACTGGAAAGATGGATCTGGAGCTCTCAATAAGAAACAAGAGCTCAGAGAGGAAGACTGCTGAGATAGTCAGTCATTTAAGTAGACTGCCAAGGGCAGATATTAAGTACCTTCTATCTGCCAGACACTGCATCAAGGCCACGGCCAGCATCACCACAGTAGATAAGTCAAGGGGGCAGTTTGAAGAAGCAGTACATCTGTCTATAGGACATAATGAACAAACGTATAAATAATTGCAACAGAGAACTCAAGGAAAGATCACCTGAGGCCACCCCCATTTCAGATGTCACTTGTGTTAACAGGCTGTTGTCATAGTCCTGGCCCTGCTTTGCTCTCGTCAGGCTTTGTCCCTGTCTGACACCCACCCACCCTGTAGTCCCTGACCCAGCACCCGAGTCCAGCACCTTGACTGGCCCCCTAACCGTTTCTTTCTCTTGTTTTCAGATAGATTCTCACTATGTAGTCCAGGCTGACCTCAAACTCATGATCTACCTCCGTCGGCTTTGGAGTGTTGAGACTATGGATGTGTGACCTCATGCTCCACTAGGCCTTTATGATTCTGTAGTTTCGTGTGGTCCTGGCACGAACCACAAAATATCTTGAAGAGATTTTGGCTAAAGATGAACAATTGGTGGTAATAAAGATATTCCACTAAAATATCTTAGGAATATGCAGACAATTGTATGAAGTGTTTTAGATAGGGTCTGTTGTTTTGGATACTTTTCAGTATTCCTTAGTCAACTCCATCCTTTTCACCCAAATAACTACTGTGATACAAAGATGTGTATATTTAAAAAATTCCCTCTAGTCAAAGAACTAAAAATCACAATTTCAGTTGCACTATATAACTTCATTAGGGTCCTGGAACAGATGACCTGGAATAGAAGTAATTCAAAGTCCATTTTCCATTTTCTCTGCTACCAAATCTCATATTTATATGAGAATGCATATTTGTTCATTAGTTTTAAACACTTGTTCTGAACATCAAGTACTCCACATGTTTTTGCAAGGAGCACTGACACTCTTTTTTAGTTATAATGCTTAATCTGCTTTATTTTTTCTTTTAATTACATTGTATAAAATTTTCTCTATGTGAGTCTTAAAAGGTGTTAATGGGTATTTTACAGTAATTTGTTTTTTTCCAATTACATAAAGTATCCCTTTCTTGGCCATAATACATTATTATCTTTTAGCAGAACAGTTGATGTTTTGAAAAGGTATTTAAGTATTTGTGTATAAAAGATTATTTACCAGCTTTGGAGAGATTTTTCCCTCTTAAAGCTCATGTAACATCTCCAAGTTAAGAAGTTAAAATTAAGCCAGCAACTTCAAATGCAATTTTTAGCTTTCTGTTTCCCTAAGCCTACTATCTCCAAGGAGTCTTGACATGTATGAACGGCAGTGAGGGATTGGGAAAGGAATCAGGTGACGCATTGGCTGGGCCACTGCCAGCCTGTGTCAGCCTGTGGGAGAAGGAGCTAGGCTGGCCCTCTGCTCAGGAATTACAGCATCAACATGGCTGAGGCAGGGCAGAGGATGGAGCCTGTAGCTTGGTACTCAGCAAACCACAAGCATTAGAACACAGAGTTCAGAGCTGCCCTGGGGGTCACTGACTCCTTGGTGACTCAGCTGCTCTTTTAGGGGCTTTCAGTGTTTACGCGCTACCCTGGTCCCAGCCAGCTCCACCTTGGTTTATTTCTCTCTTTCAGGATCCTAAGATTCTTTACTTACATAACGTCTTCCTTTCTGTCACACTTGTTCTTCCAAACACTTTGCTGAGCTGGACTTATTTTTTTTAAGAGTTTTAATTTTTAATTAGGAAAATAAACACTATGTAAATTTACCATCTCATTTTTAAGTACATAGTTTAGTATGGCTAAGTGCATCCACAGTGTTATGAAAGTTATGCAACCAGTCCTCAAGAGCGCTTTTTTTTTTTTTTTTTTTTTTGTAACTTGTAAAACTGAAACCAGTACCCATGGGAAAAAACAACCGCCCACCAAAACAAAACCATTCCTCCGTTCCGCTCCTGGCAGCCACCCTTCTCTCTTCTGTTTGTTAGTTTTAGTATTCTAAGCAACCATAGAAATGGAGTCAATGGTTTGTGCCTTGGTTTGGGGTTATTTCACTTAGCCTAGCGTCTTCAGGGTTCGCTGTGTACCCTGTGGTAGCATGTGTCAGGATTCGTTTTAAAGGCTGGATATGCTCCATCATGCACACGCCGTTTTGCCCATCCATTCTTCTGGTGATGGGCTTCTTCTATCTTTAGCGTTCTGTGAAAGACATTGCCATGAATATGGGTGTAACCAGATTCATTCTTTTTGATGACACATACTCACCTATTTTTAAAACAGCTTTTGTCATGGAAAATTTTCCAACATGAGAACGAAAAAAAGAATATCTTATGAACTCCCGAATACCCATCACTCAGCTTCACCAGCTTTAATCTTGTAGTCTATAGTTGTAGCTTACCTCTAGCTCTACAGATAATTCTGATCTGGATTGTTCTGAAGCAAATCCAACACATCACACATTTTTACTTGCCAATATCATACAATGTATCTTTTAAAAATAAGATTTTTTAAAAAGATAAAGTATAAAAGTATTTTGATATTTAAAAAAAACCTACTCATTGTTATCAGTATCCACTTGGTAAGTTACAGTATCTCAATTATCTTAAATTTTAATTTAAATTTATTTTAGTAGATACCTTAAAACATTATATATATATATATGTGTGTGTGTGTGTGTGTGTGTGTGTGTGTGTGTGTGTGTATAATAGTGTCACATGTAATATTTTGGTATCTGTATACATCATTCCATGCTTAAATCAAATTGAATTTATATATCTTTTGAAACACTTATCATTTCTTAAGGTTGAAAACATTCAAACTCCTTCTAGCTTTCTGAAGCATACAGTACATGCTGTTTTCTACAGTCATGCTACCAAGATGAAGACCGGGCTCCGAGGTCTACACCACTTCCCTCACATGTGTGAGGCCCTGGGTTCCATCTCCAGAATCAGAAAAAAGCATGTAAACACTTACAGTTTCCGTACTGCACAACAGCACACTAGGCCTTCTTCCTCCTTTCCAACAATAAGTCTACCTACTGCCCCCTCTGCGCACCCCCCACCTTTCTTCCCCAGCCTCCTGTGGCCGCCACCCCACTTGCAACTCCCAGCAGACCAATCTTTTTATAGTATACATATGAGTTGCATCGTTTGGCACCTAAATTTTTCTTAACTTGATTGAGTAGGAGTGAAAATAAATCTGTCCATTTCCATTGTTCCATATGACTAGTGTCTCTTTGTTTCTCATCTAACTTCTTTCTCTTTTCCTTAAAATTTCCTGGAAGAAACTCTTTTTTTTTTCCCCCTAATTCTGTAGCGTTTCCCCCATGTTGGATTTTGCTCTGGTTCCCTGTAGTACATTTAACATTGTCTGCTTCCTGAATTTTTTATAAACTGGTAATTGGGTTTAGGTGCTTGATCAGATTTAGATCCTTTTGCTTTAACAAGACTCACATAAAACCAGAACTGTATTTTTCTACCAAGGGGCACAGAATAGCACTTTCTTCCCGCCCCCTTCTCACCCTCTTCCGCCCCTTCACCCCCTTCTCCTCCTCTTCCGCACCTTCACCCCCGCCCCCATCATCACTACAGGTTAGACCATTTGATGGTGCAAAGCACAGCTAGTTGGTTCTCTTGCTTCCTCTCTGGATATTAACTAAAATCCTTCCATAACAGTGATGTCCTGCCATCAGTTTTCCTGAGAGGTGCTTGTGTAAAACAGTAAGGGTAAGTGTGTAACTACACACGCCCCCTTTCCTCAGCAATCCTCAAAGCAGTGAGTTGGCTTCTAAAGGTAACCAATAAGATTTTTCTTATAGTAGAATTTGAACTCGGTGATTTTTTTTTACAGTTTAATTTTTATTCCTTAAATTTATGTGAGCTCAAAGGTATGCCAGGTATGTGCGGGTATCTGGGGAGGCCAGAAGAGGGTGTTGGATCCCTGGAGCTGGAGTTACAGATGGCTATGAGCTGCCCGATGTGAGTGCTGGGAACCGTACTTGGGTTGGGAAGAGCGGTTAAGTGCTTGTAACTGCTAAGTCGTCTCTCTCTCCCCAATTCAGTCATTTTTTTAAAAAACATACTTCATTTTGCACTGATTTTCCTTATTGAAGTTGGCTCCTTTTGAGATGACATTGAGTGCCATTGAAAGACACCTAGCTCTCTGTTCTGACAAAATGCTCCGGGCTCATCCCTGGCTTTTCGATTTCAGGCTGACACCAGCCATTTCTTCAGAGGTGTCTGGCTCCTGTGCTGGGAGGCTGTCTGGATTTGCTGTTGCATCTCAGCCTTTTCAGTGGAAAATCCCAGGTGAGATAGTTTTCATTTTACAGATTAAATGTATTATAAATGTCTACTGACACTTGCATTTTTTAGTTTCAGAATGATCAATCTTATACCTGTGTCTGTTTTTTATTTACTGACAAAAATGGTTGCTTTATAATATACAGATATTACACCCTTATTTCTTCCCCTCACTTTTTTTTCTTTTTGCAGTACTGGGGTTCAAACTTAGGGTTTTGTGCATGGTAGGCAAGTGCTCTCTCATTGAATTATATATCCAGGCCTTTGTTCTTCATTTTGAGACGGTTGTCTGGCTTTGGACTCTCTCGGTAGGACGTGGAATTTGTGATCCTCCTACCTCAGCTTCCTGAGTAGCTGGCGTTACAGACTTGAGCCAGCAGGCAGATCGGCTTTCCCTATCTTAATGTTTGTGTATCACAGTATCTGCACAACCACCTCAGAACACAACCACCACCAGCCAGAAAGCTGGGCGCAGCCTATAGGATTTCTTTCCTGCAGTTGTTTACGAACTGTGTAAGTTACACTAGGAACACACACCATGGAACTATGGTGTTTAATACTGTTTGGAAAATCTCATCTCTATGTGGTTATTTTATTTTTATGTACAAAGATTATTTTCAAATTTTTTTTAATAATTACATAAGATATTTACCTAGTCTAAAGCACCAAATCAGTAAGACCAATATTGGTAAAAGTCTGTCTTCCCGTCAGGAACTTCTCCCTAAGTATCCTATAGATGTTCATTTTTCAATCACTTATTTAAAAACCTAATTCTTCTTAGTTTATTGATTGAACAGATTCTATTTATACCAAGAAAATGTGAAACAGAGTTATTCCCAAACCTTGGATATTTGCTATTTGTACCCTTGGCTCTAATAAGTTCTAGGATACAGTTCTAATAGTACACGTGAAAGAGAGAGAAAGGATCGTGTGGATTTGAGGAGTGAGGGAGAGTGGTCTTGGCCGAGCTTGACAGGGCAAGATCTTGTGAGAGCGCTCAGCTTTCACCTATTAAATTTAGATGACTACATTACTGGGAGCCCATCTGAGCCCAGACTTGTGAGTGTAGAAAACTCTGGCCACAGACTGAATCTGCCTGGACTCAAGTAAAGATAAAATTGGCTTCGTTCCACACTCACCATGAGCAAGCTAAGCCTATCAGATGACTCATGAGTGACTGAGACCTGGTTAAAAGATCAACTCAGGCGACAAACAAGGTCAGCTTTCGGAGTCATACCATGCCTGTGGGCAAAGAAGGCACGAGGATAGAATCTCACTCACGGAACCACACATCCTTCATGAGCAATGAGGGCTGTCAGTCATCATCAGCGGGGGTCCTGCCTTCACTGTATCCATCAGTTGATGATCGCTAGTACACAGAGGCAGGTATGGAGACCATGGTACCTCTTCCTCCACTCTGCCATCTCCTAGGACTTTAGAGAAAGCCAGTGCACAGGCATTTTTCACGGTTAGAGATTAGTAGCAATGTTTAATCCAAGTCTGTGAATAACAGAGTCTCACCAACTTGTACTGGAATCACTCAGTTCACTTCAACGTGTGTCAAACACATTGCCGGAAGCCAGAAACTATGCTGGACTCGGGATGTAAAGATGCACAAAGCACAGGCTCTGTTCTGACAGCGTGACTGGTCAGAGGAGGCTGGCACAAAGAATCGTCGCTGAGTACCGAGAGTCATACTGCGAGGTCGTTCTTCTGAGGTTTTAGCCAAGGACTCCAGCATGACATCTGGAAGTAGGAGACACCAAGACTGCTGAAGCTGGGGAGTAAGGAGTGGTCAGGACAGGGACAGTGCCGCAGGAGTGGGCAGCCCCTACATGGTAGACTGAGCAGGAGCGCCTCTAACCTTCGCACAAGGCTGGAAGTGGCTGAGGCCTAGACCAACCTGGAAGTCAGGAGACACACTCCCTAGAGAGGCTTTTCTCCTTCCATTAAAAATAAGTGTTTTTTTTCTCGTATTATGTATCCTGATTACAGTTTCCCCTCCTTCTACTCCTCCTAGTTTTTCCTATCTCGGCTTTCATCATTTTCTGTGTCTCATTAGGAAATAAAGACTTCTAAGGGATAATGATATAATATAATATAATATAATATAATATAATATAATATAATGTAATAAGATAAAACAGTAAATAACACACTTGAATAGGACAAAACAAACAGAAGGAAAAGAACTAAAAAAAAAAAGGCACAAGAAACAGATACAGACTCAGAGACCCATTCGTTCATACACTCAAGAATCCTATAAAAACACACAAAACTGGAAGCTATAGTATATATGCAAAGAAACTGTAGGATTAAAAAGAGGATATATAAATGTGTACACACACACACACACACACACACACACACACACACACACACATATATATATATATATATATATATATATATATATATATATATGTGCACCATTTGTTGAAGATGCTGTCTTTTTTCCACTGTGTTGTTTCTGGCTTCTTTATCAAAAATCAGGTGTATGGATTTATGTCTGGGTTTTCAGTTCAATCCCACTGATTGATCAATGTGTTGGTTTTGTGCCAATGCCATGTTGTTTTTATTGCTACAACTCTGTAGTACAATTGAGGTCAGGGATTGTGATAACATCTACCTAACAGTTCTTTTATTGCTCAGATTGCTTTAGATATCCTGGGTGTTTGTGTGTCCACATGAGCTGAAAATTGTCCTTTCAATATATGTAAAGAATTGTGTTAGGATTTTGATAGGGATTGCACTGAATCTGTAGATTGATCTTGGTAGGATGGCCATTTTTACTACATTAATTCTAACAATCCATGAGCATGGGAGATCTTTCCATCTTCTGATATGTTCTGCAATTTCTTTTTTCAACGTCTTAAAGTTTTCGTTTTTATTTTTTTTAATCATACAAATCTTTCACTTGCTTGGTTAGAGTTACCCCCAAGATATTTTATATTATTTGAGGTTATGGTAAAAGGTATTGTTTTCCTGATTTCTTTCTCAGTTCCTTTGTCATGTATTTAGGAAAGCTACTGATGTTTGTGAGTTAATCTTATATCCAGTTGCTTTGCTGAAAGTATGTATCAGCTATAGGAGTTCCCAGTGGAATTTTTAGGATCACTTGTGTATACTATGATATCATCTTCAAATAATGACACTTTGACGTCTTCCTTTCCAATTTGTATCCCCTTGTTCTCCTTCAGTTGTCTTATTGCTCTAGCCAAGACTTCCAGTACTGTTTTGAATAGCTGTGAAGATAGTGGACATCCTTATCTTGTTCCTGATTTTAGTGGAATTGCTTTTAGTTTCTCTCCATTTAAGTTGGTGTTGGCTATGGGCTTGCTGTAAACTGCCTTTATAATGTTGAGGTATATCCCTTGCATCCCTAATTTTTCCAGGACTTTTATCACTAGATGTTGTCAAAGACTTTTTCTGTATCTAATGTGATGATTATGTGGTCTTTGGGGGGCAGTAATAGGAGCTTAAGGGGTTGATGGGACAGGTGTGTTAGGAATGTAAAGAGCTTGGTGGACATGAGAAATATCTGCCTTAATTTGGTAACCAGAAACTGACAAAACAAAATATTTTTCTTATACAAACTGAAAACAATTACTGAAGTCAATAATATAGAAAGTGAAATTTCATCTCCTAAATCATTGTTTGGTTACTGTTCCCCTAATTTGTTTCATTCTGAAAAATGTGTTATTAATGTTGAGCTTGGGAGAAAATCAGATAATACCTAATTACAACTTGCTTTTCTTATTTTTCAATCCATTTATCTCTGTACATTCCTTATTTTTAAACAGTATCCCATGCTCTACTATACAAAAGGAATATTTTTATTTAATCATGTACCTATTAATAAATAGATATTTAAAGATTTATTATTGATGTGAAGGTGTGTGTACCTGCATGAGTTTATGGACACCATGTGTGTGCAATGCCTGCAGAGGTGAGAAGATGGTGCTGGATCTCCTGAAACTGGAGTTACAGGGGTTGTGAGCAGCCCAGGATGGGTGCTGGGAACTGAACTTGTGTCCCCTGGAAGAGCAACAAGTGCTCTTAACCACTCAGCCTTCTCTTCTGCACCCCTATTAATAGATATTTTGATCTTCTCCAGTTTTCCTTCTTTTTAATTTTTTTTTTTTTTTTTTGTTTTTCGAGACAGGGTTTCTCTGTGTAGCTTTGCGCCGTTCCTGGATCTCGCTCTGTAGACCAGGCTGGCCTTGAACTCACAAAGATCTGCCTGCCTCTGCCTCCCGAGTGCTGGGATTAAAGGCGTGCGCCACCACCGCCCGGCTCTTTTTAATTTTTAAAAACAAAATAGTGCATAATGGCCATACTTTAAAAGTCAAAAAGAACTCTTAGACATACATGGAAAACAAGATCTGGTCCTGTTCTTCAACTGCTGACCTCTGTTCCCTCTTCGCTGAGTCTTTTCATTCTCTCTCTTTCTCTCCCTCTCTGTGTATGTGTGTTCAGGTGAGTGTGCATGTGTACTCATGTGTGTAAGGGCCAGAATTCAACCTTAGTGTCATTCTTCAGACACTCTTAACCTCTGTTTTTTGAAACATGGTCTCTCATTGGCTTGGAATTGGCCAAGTAAGCCAGGCTGGTCCCAGAGATCCATCTATCTGTCTCCCCAGCACTGGGATTACAGGCTTGTGCCACCATGCCTGGCTTCTTTTACATGGGTTCTAGAAATGGAACTCATGGCAAACTATACTAACTAGTTATCTCCAGTGCCCTTTCTTTAAGTGCTATTTATTTAGATGCTATATATTCATAGTCTTAATATGGAAAATGGGAATTCAATTCTCACAGAGATTCTGTTTTCCTATGGACTATATATGTAAATAATTGCCTTTAGTCCAGCTTTCTAGTACAGTTATGCCCATTTTTTCAATTAAATCTATGTACAATTCAATACTGACAACATTAAAATTATGGAAATATTAAGGTTGAGCCAAGTAGGTGTGACTACATTTTCATATATGTATATGGAAATATATATCTATATATCTCTCTATATACATCCACACTTTTTTTATGTTCTGTTCAGCAGCCACTAATCCATCCCCAAACCTTTGCAGACTGTAATAACATCCCTCTGATCAGTGTGCTCAAATACACTGTCTGTTCTAGAAGTCTCTCTTTCCTTTTGGCAACATTTCCCAAGAGCCTTCCATCATCTCGCTTGCCTTGGCTGGGTTCTGGCCTGGGCTGGCCGAGCAGCTGTTTCCTTGGACTTCTTTCCTGCCATCCTGAGAATCCCCTTCACCTCCTATTTTAGGTCCTGTATCCCAGTTACCTCGCCTTCCTCTCTTTAGTTTACCCCCTCGCTTTGGTGCAGCACGTACACAGCCTGGGTCCTGGAGCCCTCTCTAGGGTGGCGAGGAAATGAAGAAATGTCAGACACTAAGGAATCAATAGACAGAGGGACACAAGATCTGAGAATGAGTAGGCAGTCTGGGTTCCTGAATGGAGAAGCCCTAGCCCCTCCCACCCCCATCCCCGGAAGCGAAGCGCCTTTATTATATATAGTTGAATAGAGAGGTGGGGTTGAATAAGGAGGTGGGTTTATAATATACAGTCAAACAAGGAGACAGGCTTAGCTTATCTGAGTAGGAGCCATCTCTGTAGGGGATCAGTCTTCAGGCTGTAAATATCCTGGGGGGAAAAGCATTGCATGGATTTTGGTGAGAACTGCCAACATTTGCACTTGGACCTAAGGAAGGCTTTGATTTTGTTGTTGTCGTGGTCCCTGAGTCTCATCCAGGGAAGGTTTTGCCACTCCCATGGCCATGCGGCATTGGTCTTTGACTTGTGTGTCAACAATACACATTCACTCAGGACTTCACTCGCTCCCTACAAGCATGGCCACCAGTAGTTTTCTGAGAAAACCTTAGAGCAGACATACAGTTTTTAGGTTGCACATTTCACAGACTCAGAGAGTTATAGGACATAGTAATTACTTTTCTGTTGAGGTAAGAAAAAGAGCATGACCACAAAATAACTTAGGGAAAGAAGGGTTGATTTTGGTTCCAGAAGGACACAGTTCATGGTAGAGAACATGGCAACAGGAGAAGAAATGGCCGAAGCAGGAACAGGGAGCTGGCGGATCACACTTTCCTTCTCATACCTGAAGCAGAGAGAGCCATAGGTGGATGAGGCTATCAGCCCTTAAAGCCCACCTCAGTGACATACCTCCTCCAGCAAGGCTCCACCTCCTAAAGGTTCCACAACTGTCCCAATCAGTGTCACCAACTGGGGATCAAGTGTTCAGACACATGAGCCTACAAAGAATATTTCTCATCTGAACCACCACATTGGACATAGGGTATTGCTGGAGAATGGAACAGAGGCGTGAAGCATCCGAATAGATGAGCACACAAGGGTCTGAGTGGGGCTATGAATGGAGTCGAGATCCCAAGATGTATGGGGGCAGGAGCTAGCAGATAGCTATCTGAATTCCAGGAGACACATCCCAACGGAGACCCCAACTGCATAGTTGTCCTGGATGAGAATGAAGGAGACTAGCTGAGTAAAAACTGTGGAAACCAGAGAAGAATAAACAAAGAACAAAGCGTGGTGCACATGTGCGTCGTATACACTTCAGGGTAAGCCAGGGAAATGGTCTCATGATGAAGTCTGAGAAGAAGCCTGTCAGAGGTGGGATAACCAGGAGAAATTAGAGGCAATGGGCAAGAGACAGACATATTTCAAATGTGTAAATTTATAGGAGAATTTTAAGGAATGAGTGTATTAAAATCATGGCAAGATGGGAAAAGGATAAATAGATAAGCATGTTCCCTGTGACCTCTATGACAGCAAAAAGTAGAAGCAGACGTCCTCAGTCATCCTCCAGGGAACTTGTTATATAAGTAGTGACATACAGAGTTGTTGGAATGCACCCTATCAGTCACCCAGCCCTATGCTTGCTGACATTTATGCTTATTTTTCAGAAAAAGCAATGCAAGTTACTTTAAAAATGAGTATTACATGATCTAATTTATGTAAATCTCTATGCACACAGCCAGCCATCTGCTTGGGCATGTATATAGGGATGCTCAGAAGAATGCTCACCGGTATGGATGGTAATGATCTTTGGAGGAGGAGACTGGAGTTCTGCTTGCTTCTTTGCATTTTAAGTATTGTTTAAAGTTCTTTTTATAATAACCATATAATAAAAGATCTATTTTTACAGGCTACAGTGTTGATGTTAAATACTGCAGAGCCTGGGTTAGTAACTACTGAGAATAGGAAAGAGTGCAGGAAAGACGGAATGAAGATAATGAAATACTAAAAATCTTTGTAGGAATGTAAGTGAGGTTGTGGGGTGGGGGGGGAGATAAATCACTAGGTAGATTAGATAGGTGACTCCTTTTTATCCACTCCAACACATCTGTCCCTTTCTTCAGTTCATCTCAAACACTGTTTCCAGGTAAAGTCCCCAAATATCATTTTGTCGCCACTCTCAAGCTAGACTTCAGTGGCTCTCCCCAAGGAAGCTGAAATCGCCCGTTTGCCTGTCTGAAGATTCTATAATTGGTCACTTTTAGAGAAAATGTCCATGTGTACTTCCTGAGCATGTACCGTCACAGGCAAGGACTCAAAATCAGTGTGTACACATGGGCACTACAGCCTCGGCTGCCATCATGATTGCACAACAGTGAGGGCACAGACACAATAGTTAAAGTGACTCAGAGAAAGAGGGGCGGCCACTGGCTGATGTGACAGTTGCTTGGGCACCCATACAGGTGCGGAGGTGGACCGCATCGGTATCTGTCATTGTCTCTGCACTCCATCTCCTCCCTTTTCATTCTTTCTGAACCCTGAGCCCTCCTAACGGCTCAGATAGTAGGTCAGGTCCAGTCACGGCATCTGTCTTCTTGTGACGTGCATGGCACTGATTTTTTCAGAGATTCTTTATGATCACACGATACCTGCCATTGCTAGTCACTGCTGCTGTGTATGAACCGACTTTTGTCCACGAACAGGTGACCATGGGCTTTGAAAGTGGTCTCAGTGCTTAGCACAGAATTCAGCATATAGCAAGTGTATGATAAAGAGTTGCTGAAATGTACCAGGAAACTTTCCAGCAAAATTGTTTAATAGCTTAAAATAAATTCAATTAATTTAAGGCAACACACTTGAAAGCATTACAATACAATGTACAGGGAACACTGATTCTGAGGGGTACAGGGTCAGGGTGACAGGATCAAAGTATTTCATGAGCCTCCAGAAAGTCAAATTTTAAGCAATGGGTGGGGAGTTAGAGTCCCCCCAACTTATACTAGTTAGAATCCAACCAAGATTGCATTTGTAGTAAATAAAACCCAAACAAAATTGCTATGTAGGACAAGAAAAAAAAAACAACCTTGATTATTCTGTGACAGCACAAGTGTGTTCTAAGTGTGGCCGTTCTGAGTCTGTGGGCGAGGAGATAATTGGACTATTGGCTATGTAAACAGAAGTGTGAGCTTACAAAGGCTAGGAGGTCACCTTGGTACTGTACGTGATAAAAAGGAGATCTTACTAGGGAGTCTGGCTTTTCTTTTAATATTTAAAAAGGAAGATGAAAATGCCTTGGAGCCCCATTTCCCCAAAGTCATCCCACTGGACCTTAGGTTGTCAGGATACCGAAGGTGTTCTGTTTTTAATGGGAGCTAATGGAACTGGGAGATGCTGTCTATGATCCCGAGGTGTCTGGTTAGAAGGTATGTGGCCATCCGAGCAGAGCTCAGGAGAGGGAACTTTTCCTGAGTGTGCAGCAAGGCTGAGCCAGCGCGGTGAGTTGTAGGAGGGTTACTGTAAGCTGGGCGCATCTTTATCTCCATAAAGCCAGAAATCGACACATTGAAGCAACAGAGTGATGGGTTAGGAATGGACTCCTTGGTGAGGTGTGAGGGAAATACTGAATCATTATTGTGAGAGAACATATCATCTTCAACACTGGACAAATGATAGGAAAGATAGGAAACCATTTATGAATGATTTATGTGCCTGGCTCTCTGAGCTGCCAGGCAGGTGACCCTTTGAATTTATTTCTCGCTAGGAGTCCATGGATCCAGTACTGTGGACCTCGGGACATGTGCAGTGACCGTTGGAGGGCGTGGTTCCAGCTCCACCTCTATCATCTCTTATGCAGTGACCATCATGATTTCTCATCCCATCCTTCAGCGATTCCCCTAGGATTCACGACACGGTGCTTGCAAGGTACTTTGAAAGTATGAGAAAGACATTAGGTATATATTAATAGGCCAAATTATGTGAATTTTCTGGCATTTGATCATAAAAATGGCAATTTCATATGACCTAACCTGTCAAAATCCATCATTCATGGCAGCTGCTAGGTGGCAGGCGTGGCCGGTTCTGGGGCCTTGGACAGAGTCAGGCATTATCCCTGCCCTCAGGGAGCTCTCAGCCCAGTGAGGGAAACAAGTGTTTCCATAAAACATCACAGTGCAGCTGGACAATTGCTGGAGCAAAGCTATTTCAAGATGCTGTGGATAAAAGAGAAAGAGCCAGTGAATCTGCTGGGCCAGGAGGGGAGGGCTGCAGGGAGGCGAACAAAGAATGATTTGGTGAGAGGCAGGACATCGATTTAGGATGGATTTTGAAGGTAGAGTGATTCACCAGGTGGGAAGGACCACACCAGGCAGAGGAAACAGCTGTGCAAAAACAAAGAGACAGGAGAGAGCCTGTCTGGAGGAGGGGAAATCGTTTCAATATGAAACAATATCAAGATGAGGAGACACCAATCAAAGTCCGTGTATCAATCACTCCCATTACAATGCCCTCCTATTTACTCTTGCCTGGTTAGTAGTTATCATATTTTGTTCCTGTTTGATAGTGCTTGCACAGGCTTTTCAGGATGGCTCTAGCCACCGATTTCAGCAGGAGATGGAGATGATGCAGCCTTTCCAGCTGTGGGGACCAGTCCACAGGGAGCCTCCTTTCTAGCCACAATGTCCTGTGAGTGATGGGTGGCACTGGAGAATTTTAGGTAGGACGTGGATTTGCTTGTGTTTGCCTCTTGGAAATGAGCACCGTGGTGGTCTTCGGGAGGACAGGTGACAAGCGGGGGCTAGTGGAGACAAAGGCAGCTGCTGGGGAGCAGCAGAGGAAAGTGGATCCAGGGAGCAGCAGCAGCATCCAAGGGAGGCGGAAGTGCTCCCGTGGAACTCTGGGCGCCCAGGGAGAGTGGGCTCCCAGTGAAGTAACTCCAGAGAGAATGCAGACGGAAGACATTGCCGTGGACCTCAAAGTTGGTCACCCATGATCTTAGCTAGAGTAGTTCCAGTGAGGCAGGCACGGTCAGACATCCATGGGTCAAGGCGAGTGGTGGGCAAGGAGCTGGCAGCAGGGCGTGTGCCCGGCATTTAAAGAAGGTTCACCGGAAAGGAAGACAGCCTATTAGAAGGTGCTGAAGCACTGAAGGGAGGCCTGGGGATGGCTGTTGTGTGGAGTTGAGTGATGCATGGAAGCCACAGGAGGAACAAGGCTGGGACAGAGGTGACAGAGGGAGAAAGAGACCCCGGTTTTCACAGCTCCAAACGCGGGAAGGTCTCTTCTTCCTTCCTGAGCAGGGGAGACAGGAGAGGGTATTTGCAGACATAGACTAGTTAGATGGCGAGGCTTGGAAGGTAACAGGTTGGTGTCTTCTTGACTTCATTTCTTTGAGGTGGTGTGGCAGGCAAGGTTAGCTTTGGGGACTAAGGGGAACAGGAGGGTTGGGTTGGAACAGGGAGGCTGCAGCTGAGCGGTGGCCAGAGCCAGGAACACGTGCTGATCGAGTTTGTGTCTCTGTCACTGTGATAAACATCATGACCAGCAGCATCTTGAGGAGAGGGATCATTTCATCTTATGCCTCCAGGTTCACCACTGAGGAAAGTCAGGGCAGGGGTTGAAGCAGAGACCACAGAGCAATGCTGCTAACTGCCTTGCTTCCCCTGGCTTAAGCTCAGCCATCTTTCTTACGTCACTCAGGATCACTTGCTCAGGGGTGGTGCCGCCCACAGTAGATTACAACAGCAATTGGCAATCAAGAAAAAGCACCACAGACAGGGCCCACAGGTCAGTCTGATGGAGGCACTTCCTCAGTTGAGGTCCCCTCTTTCCAGGTGACTCGGTTTACCATTGAGTTGACAACAAAGACCGGCCGTTTGGGTCACTTGCCCAGCAGCCCCAAGAGCCCGGCAGGGACTGGAGACCATTCTGACACTCGGGACTTTGAGATTTGTGTGGTAACCAAATGCCATGGTGGACGCAAGAGTTGCTAAAGCAGAGAGAGAGACAGAGACAGAGACAGAGAGACAGAGACAGAGACAGACAGAGAGGCAGAGAGACAGAGAGACAGAGACAGAGAGACAGAGAGAGAGAGACAGAGACAGAGACAGACAGAGACAGAGAGAGACAGAGAGAGTAATGAAAGACGGGCAGAACAGACTCAGGCACCAGCAGGCAGGGGCAAGAGATGGAGACCTGGCCCACCTGTTTCCTTGCCTGAGAGAGCAGGAGGGTCGGAGCAGGTGGCAGAGGCTGTGAGTCAAGTGTCACTGTTCTTTACAGTCTCTCTGAGTGGAGTGTTGGAGCAGTCAGTTTAACGGGCTGTAGCCTCCTCCTGCAAAATGTGCTTCCTTTTCGTTCCGTGTAGGAAGGTCAGGGGTGACTCCTGGCCCTTGGTGATGGAAATCTGGTTTGCATTCCCTTCCTTTCCAGCCTCCTTCTGGTTTCTCCACCATTTGCTGCCTTCCTGGGCTGCAGGATGGCTCATTAACAACCGCCTTCTGTTCTTGCCAATCTTGTTTACCTGCCTGCAAGGCTGACTCCGATGGTTTTGAGACTGCAGAGGTTTATTCTCGTATATGAGTGACATTTCTCTTTCCCCAGCATCCTTCACCTCCCTGGGCTCCACACAACATATGAGAATTATTCGCTTGCCAGCCCATTCTGCTCCTCTCAAAAGAAAATTGACAAGTTCAATAATACCAGTTTGAGATTGATTTGTTAGCTATGTAACTCGGACGCCTCTTTCCACAGAGGAGCAGTTCAGCTCGCCGTGCTTTGCTTTAGAGGTGATGATCTCCCAGCCGTGCGCCTCCTGAGCTTCCTGTGCAAGAGAGTCAAACACTGCCACTTTAACGCCGCTGTCTGTCACAGCCCTGCCCACAGCCCAGACCACAAAGCTGCAACAAGTTCAAAGTTCTGGGGACTTCAGCAAAGCACAGCCTCGATTCCTTTGTTTGCAGAACAAGGTCTCCTCAGAAGCCTTTCTGGGCTCCTATGCTCCTGCGCAAGTGAGCCGGCATGCCGTATGTCTGCTGAATCCCTAAGGTTTCTGAAGCACCCAGGGGGCCGTAGTTTGTCCAAAGTCACCCTGCAGGATGGTGGCAGGCTACAATCAGACCCAGAACTTGTTTCTACTAGGCAAGATCCCTTGAACCTACTGGAAGCAATTGTATTGGTACAGGCCGTGTGCTTCTATCTTTAAATAGTCAGCTGGCAACCATGGTTTGAAGTCCCTTTGAGGGACTGAGTTCAGGCCCTTGTGTGAAGTTCAGACTGCTGTTTGAAGGGGTTCTGGCGGTGTCTGCCAAACAGAACACTCAGAACTAGGAGTGAGAAAAGTGATCCAGTATGGCAAGGGCCCAGAGCAGAGGCTTAAATAGACCTACTTCATTCCTTTGCTTCCAGCTGGGGTTGTACCCCCACACTCTTCACCGCCCCTTCTGGAAAAGTCTGCTAAGTCAAAAATCCTCGTATTTTTCCTTGAAACCATTAGATTGTATTTCCCACTGTAAGTTGATTTGTGAGCACTGTTAGGATGTGTCTGCGGAACCTCCTCCTGTGCCCGGACACAGGGCCAGGGGAAAGGCGTGGTTTCAGATGAATAACTTTCTAAATGTATTTTGCATTTTCCTCACCTCTTTGCTTTGAACGTAATTTTGAATAGACAGGAACCCGATACAATGGATGTGTTCTTGTGTTGTACACAGCCTGTCATCTTGCTACAGGTAAAATATTGTAGCCCTCATTCACTAATAATTGATCCTGAAATCATCAATAGTCGTCATAAACAGCAAACACAGAGAAGCATCCTAGCAGTTTAAAAGTTTAGGATTCAAAGAGGCTTTGGAAGTAATCTGAACCAGCTACCTTCTCGCCTTTTCTTAATGGGAGATCTATCTCAACAGCCCTCAACCTTTGCTGCGTATGAGAATCATTCTGTAGAAACTGTAAAGCCCCCCCAGGGTCTGGATCCCACTCTAGATCAATTAAGAATTTCTGGGAGTGAGATTGAGATATTGGCATTTCCTAAAACCTCCCAGTGTGCAGCCAAGTTCTAATGAGTGATCTGTCTTTTCTGTGGCTGGACCCTGGGGTGGAGTCTATTTTTCGGGGCTGGAGATGGGTGTGGCTGTTCATGGTGGACAGCTCTTCCTCTCAGAATTAACACCCCAGGAAACCATGTGGGACCAATGGGCTGTTTTGCTGGGTAAGTCCTTTGAGCATTTGAAGAGAGTATATGATTTACAACATACTAGATTACATCCACTGTACAATGTGGTCAGAGAAAATGAAACTCTTAGACATGCTGTTCCATAATGTGGGTTTGGACCCAGAATTCGGCTACCATTCTGTGCCACTTTCATTGTTTTGCTTCTTTGATGAAACAATTGGGAACACTATAAAGAAAGGAGTCAATTTTACTTGAGGTTAAAGCCAATAAGTTTGTGTGTATATAGGTTCATGTGTGGCGGGGGGAGGTGCCCATGCATGTATGTGCATGTGTAGGCCAGGGGACAGCCCTGGGTGTCATTCCTCAGATACCATCCATTGTTTTTTGAGATAGCATCTTTCATTGGCATAGAACTTGCTAAGTAGACTAGACGGCTGGCCGGTGAGCCCCAGAGGTCTTCTTGTCTCTGTCTCCCCAAGCCTGGATTATAAGCATGTGCCACCATGTCCAGTTATCTTTATGTGGCTTCTGGGGATTGAACTTAGGTCTCTGTGCTTCTTCCCAAGGAAACGCTTTATCAACAGAATCATCTTTCCACTCTAGCCAATAGTTTTCTCAGAAGCTAGTGTGACCAATGACAGAGGATCTTCTCTTTCCTCCTGGCTGGCTGTCCGTGGCAGCCTGTGTCCTGCATGGGTAGCATCTCTACTGGGCGGTCAAACTTGCCACCGCTCTCCTGTGTCTGCATTCGAGCCCGGGGACAGGCAGACTATGGAAGAGCAGCCAAGGGAAGAAGAAAAAGCAGAAGAGGGGGTTGTCCACAACATACCCCAATATAGAGAGCCTCCTGCTGAGTTCTGGAGACCTGATCCAGCACCATTTATTAACAGGTCAAGTTACGGGTTTCTATCTCTTAGATTTGGATCTTGGCTCATGTGTGCTGCAAGGAGCAACTTTGTGAAGGGATCTTCACCTGTTTGAGCCCCAGTTTCTTCATCTGTCGTCAGTCAGAAGTGACAATTGTAGCTAAGCTCGATGAAATTAGAAAGATACTTTGTGTGTATATGAAATTAGAAAAATACCTGGTACCTGACAAAACTCAGCTATTCTTGCATAATCATAGCCTCCCCTCCCCCTGCCATCCCACACTACCAAGCTGTCCTTGATCCACAGGCCAGTTGTCCACCCTCCCTTCCTGATTTAAGTCCCATGTGGTCTGAATACAGCACCATTGACAAGGTCCCTCAGTCTCATCTTCCCCTGTCCAGTGCTCGGCTTGGATTTTGCAGGTGTGGCTCCTTGCAGTTCAGCATCCCATTTTGGCTCCCATCACCTCCCAAAGGCACTGAGGGAAAAACAAGTTGCTTCACACTCTTGACCCACTGCCGCACATGGGGTGGAAGGGAGACCCTGCCAGACAACCTTGCTCCTGAGGAGGATATTTTTCAGTCTCCTTTCTCAAAAGTCCACGTGAAATTGAACTTGGAGCCACGATTTGCCCTTCCTTTTAAGCATGCAGGGAAATCATGAAGTTTTTAACAGACACTGGAGGATATATTCTTACTCCCCTTCCCATTGAGCAAACATTACATTTCTGAGCACAGATTCTTGAACTCCAACACTAGCAACATGGCCTTTATTTTCTATTCTTCTTCAATGGATTCTATCCATCCTGCTATGTGAAACTCTGGGGATGTGACCCACTAGACATTATCCTCACCAGCCGACATTTAAAGGGTATGAAGATGGAAGGTATTTGATCCACAGAGCAGTAGTTCCAGCATGTGTCAGTGAGCAAGTAAATGCTTCCTTGCAGAAGTCCCTGCTCCCTCTGTTGGGTAAATGGATGACTTTCCAGGGATGCTGCAGAGAAGAGTGATTTTTTAAAAAAAAAAATGGCCTAAGGCATCTGTAATATAGAGTCTTTAACCCAGTACACATTTCTTGCTGTTTAAAAATAAGTTTAAATTGGGCCCTTTTATTATCCAGCCAGGTCCCCTGAAGTCTGTGAGGAAGCCACTCACTAATGAAGGAAAAGGGGGAGCAGACTGAGTCTTACAAGTCATTTTTATGTACCCAACACATGCCAGAACAGTCCCACATGGGTTGGGTCATCGCTCAATCCACTACTTGACCATCACTACGGGATGCAGGTGGCTTCAAAACAAGCTGAGGGTCAGGCAGGGGAGGAGGAGAAAAACCTGAGGAGTCACTGGCAGATGAGAAAACGACGTTTGGCGCCAGGAACTCAGAAGCAGAATAAATACAACAAACACCAACGTCATTCTCACTCTAAATTACAGAATAAATACAACAAACATCAATGTCATTTTCACTCTAAATTACAGCTCCTTGAGGTTTTGGTAAAATTTTCATTCCCTTGACTATTGTAGGAAGATGTTTCCTAGTCAGAGAATGGGTTTTCATTCCTTTGTGCAAGGACATGAATGTACCTGACTCGGCAAGCCGCGTGGACAGTCTTCAAGTCTCCTTGCAGTCAGACCTGCAGAGAGCACTGTTTTAAGATGGCTTTAGTTTGGACAGTCTGTGAATTTCATATCCCCTCTCATGTTTCCTACAGTGCAATACGTTTGCTACTGATGCATTGCTACCTGGGAAATATTCAGTGCATGGTGTGTGATGAAGAAATGGTTCTGTGATACTAAATTCATAACCCATTCTGGAACCAACTGTGCCAACTGCCTGGTGATAATTAACACACACACACACACACACACACACACACACACACACACACACACACACACGTATGTTAATGCTGCCCTGGAATAGACATGATGTCATTTCCTTCACTTGATTCATTCATTCGTTTATTCACAGAACAAGTGTTAACTCATTCATTACTAAGACAGGCTTGAGAGTGTGAATAGCACATTTACTGTTTCTAAAATTCATATGCGGAGTCTCCCTTGTCCTTGAGTTATATGGATACCAGGATAGAACAAAATCAATATTTGTCCTATTCATCCTGCATAAATATTTTCTCAGACAAGTAGCTATTTACCATATTGAGTCAACACAGACTGCAAGAATATAAGAAGGTTGTCTGGAAGGTTCCCCTTCCCCAGGGGTCTGGTAACACAGCCAAAAGGAGGGCAACAGACATTGATTGTGTGCCCATCATGAGTCACAATGCCAGCATTTACATACATTAAACATTTCATCCTCATAAACGCCCCAGGAGAGATGCTCTTGCTCACATTATCTTACAAATGAAAGTACTGGGATTCTGAAAGGTCCAATAATTCTCATCTTAAAACGGTCTGCTTTCCCATTTCAGTGGACAAAACATTTCCATTTCCTACTAGTTCTCTCAGCATTTTTGAACCCCCCCCCCCACCATAGGCCTTCTTTATCTGTAGCTTAGCAATGGCTTTCAATATCACCCTTCTGCCCATGACTGTCCAATGTGTGCATCCAGCCAGTCTTCTCCCATTATCACCAATGCCTGTATCCAGTCATCTAGTTGGAATTCACACTTGGACAATGGACAAGCACTTAAGCTTAAAGAACACTCATGTTTTGCCCAAATGTGAAGCAAAGCTAAGAGAAGTCCTATCTCTCCATCTCCTTGTACACTATTGGCATAGCTTTCATACATCACAATGTCCACATTGGTGATCGTCATAATTTTTTTCTTCTCCTGATCTCTTTCTCCTTGAATTTGAAGCATTTAATGTAGTCACTGTTCATCTGAGTGCTCATACAAAAGGCCTAGATTTCAATTTTAAGCATGTCTAAATTCATAACAAAAATATGTTGACATGGCCTGAGATACCCAAAGTGACACAGGGTTTTTGTCCTTGCTCTTGGTTGTCCACTGTGGCTAGATGGTAAGACCCTATTGTTAGAGATAACACTCACGTTGGATGCAGGACGTTAGGAAATCAGCCTCAAACTGACCATGAAACCCTCCCCCTGCTGGCTAGATAACAGAGAGCCAGAAGGTGCCGGGTAACCTGCTGGCAGAAGCAATAGATTTATCCAACATAGGTTCCTGCACCAGATCCTGAATGCTATAACTGACCTGATGGCAAGATGCACACACTGGTGCCAGAGTGACATGGTAGTTACAGGGGCAACCAAGTGCTTTCTGCTTGGATAGGAGTCCTGCTCCACAGGAGAGATTGCATGCTTGGTACTGTAAATCAATGACTGGAGGAATACTGTTTTTGTGTTAAATGAGCATATGGTCAACTGGTGCCATTGCTTTTAGGCCCGTGGTGAGGCAGCAACTTCATGGAGGAAGGACATGACAAAGGTGTGCTAAGCTGTTCCCTGCATGGTAATCAGGGAGCAGAGAAAGCCAAGAAGGAAAAATAGCACCCTTCAAAGACTTAACTCTAGGAACCTATTTCTTTCAACTAGGCCCATTGACTAATGACCCATCTAGCTACAAATTCATCAATGGAGTGATACATTGATAAATATCCTTGCTATTCAGTTGCCTCTCAATAGCACAACTGACTGGGAACCAATGATCAACACATGAGCCTTTGGGGGTATTTTATACCCAAACTGTAACCTCTGTTATGAATGCTTCTGGGTGTGCACACCTAAAAGACAAGCCAGTGATAAGAAAGCAAGCAGAGTTGAGCTACACTAATGAGCAGATCAAATGTCCTGCCTCTGTGAAAGAAAGAAACATAGCCACCATAACAATTAAGTAAGTGATACAGTATGTTAGAATATAGATGGTATGTGATGATGGGGAGGGGGTAAAGCAGGGTAAGGGTGACCAGATGTGAGGGATGCTATTTTAAGTGATGTGGTCAGGATAGTCTTCAATGAGAATGCGACATCGGAGGGAGAATGTGGAGGACCTGGGTGACAGCAGAGATGGTATGAAGACATTATATTCTAGGGACCTTTTGAACAGAAGAATCAAGAGGATTTACTGATGGTTTGCTTGTGAAGAGTCAATCATGACTTCCAGACTTTTGCTAGAATAACTGGAAGGACAGAGCTGCTATTAGTTCAGATGAGAAAGGCTGAATGTAAAGCAGATCTACATTCTGAGATAGACATCAGTGTTAGAGATGGTTTGGAGACGTCTGCCACACACTTGAGAGGAGATGACACAGAGGAAGCAGTTGAACGTGTGAATGAAGAGCTGAGTTGGCACGTCTGCACAGTCACAGCTTATGGATGGTACCGAACGCCAGGAGATTGTGTGAGATCCCCAAGGGGTAGGGGGACAAGAGAAGCCAGGCCCCAGAACTTGTGCATTGCAGCATCTAGAAGTTAAAGAGGGGAGAACTCAGAGGTGGATGCCGAGCAGCAGCAGCCAGCAAAGAAGAAAGCAGAGATTGAGGCAAGCTGGCAGCCAGGTAAAGACATGGTACTGAGGAGGAGAGGGACCATCGCGACTAATTTTCAAGCGAGACAAGGATCCAAATGAACCATCAGATTTAGCAACACTGAGGCCATTGATGGCGAGCGTCTCTGAGCTTTTAGGGGAGTGAACCCTTTAAAGTTGGTTTAGAGAGGTTGGAAGGACACTAATGGAAGCATTGGCGTGAGGAATTTGTTGCAAAGGTGAGAAAAATTAGAGTGCCTCTGGGGAAATTTTTTTAAAGGTGAGAAAATAAGAACATGTTTATATAATGATGGGGATAATCAAGTAGAGATGTGAAAATGGATGGTGTAGGAGAAAAGGAGCCAAATTGCTAGTGATGCCCTTGAGCATAAGTAGGTTTGATAAACTAGTGTGGGTTCTGAAACATGTCTACAAATGCTTTGGCATTCCTCTCTTCCAAAAGTGGAGTTTAATTTTCTTTTCCTGAATATGGGCTAGACTCACTAAATTGCTTTGTTTGTTTGTTTTGTTTTGTGTTTTTTTTTCAAGACAGGGTTTCTCTATGTAGCTTTGCGCCTTTCCTGGAACTCACTTTGGAGACCAGGCTGGCCTTGAACTCACAGAGATCTGCCTGCCTCTGCCTCCTGAGTGCTGGGATTAAAGGCGTGCGCCACCACCGTCCGGCACTAAACTGCTTTTATCAAATATGGAAGAAGCGACAGTGGCTTTCTTCCTTTTCCTTGGGCTCACTTGCTCTGAGCAGAACTGCTGCCATGTTTGAGGACCCTCATGCAGCTCCCCAGCTGAGCCCACATGGTGAGGAACTGAGGCCTCATAACCAACAGCCATATGTGTGAGCCATCTTAGAAACTGATTCTCCGCAACTTCCAATGACCAAAGCCCAAGCTGACACCTTCACTGTGACCTCAGGAGACTAGAACTACCACCTGTGTCCCTGCTTAATTTCTGACACACAGAAGCTAAGATAACAAATATCTATTGTTTTAATCCGCTCAATTTATGATAGTTTGTTAGCAGCAGAAGCTGACTAATAGTGAGGGGAGCCCAAGATAGCTCATGTGTTGCAACATGCAAGGAGAAAGACTAGAGGTTGCTTCCATGTTCTTCGTGAAACAGGCAGAAAACAAACTAACTAGAACCTGGGCAAGTCATAGCAACTCTCCCTAAGGACTACAAGACCTTGAACACCATACTTAACATATCTGTGTGGTTTTCCTTTAAAATAGTCACACGGTATTCTCCTCCTTGACAAGGTTGTCATAATGGGTCCACATAGGCAAATTAAAATAGTACCCAGAATGTAATAAAGTCCACGTACATATGATTAAAAAAGTATCCACTAGTTACTCTCCCCCACTGGTTCTCAAAACCCATTCCCTGGGCCAGCAATATCCTATTACCTAGGAATTGTGAGATGTGCAAATTCACACACACACACACACACACACACACACACACACACACACACACGCACACACACACACACACGCAACCAACAAACCTTCCAGCTATGACTTAGATGATCACTCTAGTGTGCCACTTTCTGGTTTATCTCATCTTCTCTTTTACTTCCCTGATTTCACTATCACAGACAGAGATCTGTAGCAGGCTTTTTCCTTTGGGTCACCAACCAGCTCCCAAATCATGACACGGAGACATCTTATTAGTTATGGATGCTCGGCCTTATCTTAGCTCTTATTTTAATCTGTTTCTCATTATCTGTGTTTTGCCTTGGGGCTTCTCACCTTCTTGCTTTCTGTATGTTTTACTTTCTTGCTGTCTCTGTGTCTGGCTGGCTGGAGGCTGCCTGCCTTCTGGCCCTGGATGTGTCCCTCTCTTTCTCCCCACTCTCTTCTTTCTTCTTCCTCTCTCTCCTCTCCAGCCTAGATTTCTCCTCCTACTTATTCTCTATTCCTGCCAGCCCCTCCTTTCCTTTCTGTTGTCTAGCTATTGGCCATTCAGCTTTTTATGAGACCAATCAGGTGCCTTAGGCAGGCAAGAGGAAACAAATGTAACACATTTTTACATAGTTAACCAAGGCAGCAGAAACAATTGTATCACACCCTCACATAGTTTAAGTAATATTCTGCAGCATAAACAAATGTAGCACATCTTTGCCTAGTTAAAATAATAATCCACAACAGAGATTTTCCTGTTTGCTTACATGATTAATGCCTCTATATCCTACTAAAAAGAAGCATTCCAGGAGTGCAGATGTGCTGATCTTGTTCATTTTTGCATTCCCAACTGTTAGCATAGCTTCTGACACAAGCAAGCAATGAGAGAACAGAAATGGATAGATGAGTGAATTGAATGACCTTATACAAGGTTATTTATGATAGACAAGGTTTCATGTTTCCTAGAGTGGCTTTGAACTCATCTTCACAGCTGAGGTTGACAGCAAGCTTCTGGTATCC